CCTGCGGTACCGCCCCGGGACTGGGAGGTTCCTAGGGGACCCTGGTTGAGGCTCCACTTAGACTTTGCATGTCCCTTCCATGGGCAGATGTTCCTGGTGGTCGTGGACGCTTACTCCCGCTGGGTGGAACTTCTTCTCGTGACTTCCACCACCACAGAAACCACTTTGCGGGCCTTGCAGTGCCTTTTCGCAATCCACGGACTGCCGCACATTGTTGTGTCTGACAATGGGCCACAGTTTGCATCCACGGCCTTCCAGGAGTTCCTGGCCATGCAGGGGATCCACTACGCGCCTACCGCCCCTTACCATCCTGCTTGCAATGGCTGGGCAGAACGAGCTGTCCATTCAGCCAATGAGGCATTGGGCCAGATGGATTGGGGCAACTGGCTGGCAAGGGTGGCCGCTTACCTCCTAGGTGAGCACTCCATCACTTGCCCTATCTCCAACAAAAGCCCCACCAAACTGCTGATGGGCCGGCGCTTGCAAACCACCCTGGACAGACTGCACTCACTCTACTCAGGGCAATAGCATAGCAACCTGGGGGCTCCTCCTCGCACTTTTGGGGAAGGGGACCTTGTCTGGGCTCAGAATTTCACTGGGGATCCAAAGTGGGTGCCTGCCACCATCACTGCAGTAACCGGTCCCTGCTCTTACAGGGGCGGCCTCACAGATTACACTCAGTGGAGGCGCCATGTGGATCAGTTGAGGCGCCGCCTTCCACCGGAGGCCTGCACTCAATCCGGCCCGTCGAGCCGGCTGCCATCGCCCAGCAGCCGGCCCCAGTTCCGCCTTGGCCCGCAATTCCTCCATCGAATGCGGCTCCGTTTGAGGCCTTCACCCAGTCAGGCCTTCCCTACCCTGCTACCGCCTTCTGGCAGCCATGATCTGGTTCGCCTCCGTCTGACACGTCCCGTCCTATCTTTTCCGCAGGATCCGCCTTCGGGGGTAGGCCAGGATGACGTCTCCCAGAGCTACACTCCCTTCAGGGAGGAGCTACCATAGGAACCTCTTACCCCATCGATGCTGCTGCAGCAACTGAGACGCTCAAGGCTGGCCCGATGCCAACCCGCCTACTTAAGTGATTACGCATGCACAACCTTCACGCATGCACCCTCGCTAGGGGGAAAGGAGTGCTAAGTCCTTAGCTTGCGACCGGTCCTAAAGTTTTTGACTTACGACCGGCCATAAGTCCTCAACTCATGATTGACAGCCGGCAACAGCCTAGCCGCGCCTGTTTGGCTAAGACGCGGCTGGCTGATTGCGGGCTGCCAGAGGCACTCCTATTGGTTGCCCTGCTTGATAGCTCCTGTATAAATAGCTGTCAAGAAGGGCGAGGTGCTGAACTCTCTCTGTATATAGTTAACTGTTGCTGTTACCCAATAAATAACTGTTCGCTTACCTTAGCTGCCTCACGTCTCATCTGTTCCTTCGAACTTCAATAGGTGGGAGAGACGGGCAAGGGCCTCGTTGGCCGAGCGGATGGCTCGCTCCGCCATGCCATTGCCTGCAGGGTGGTAGGGTGCCACCAGTGCATGGCGAATGCCCAGGCTGGCAAGGTAGGATTGGAAGGGAGCGGAGGTGAATTGAGGGCCGTTGTCCGAGACGATGACATCCGGGATGCCATGGGTTGTAAAAAAGGGTGTCTAGTTTTTGAATGGTGGCGCCAGACGTGGTGGACTGCATGGGGAAAATGTCAACCCATTTGGAGAGAGCGTCCACCATGAGGAGGAAGGTGCGGCCGTCAACGAGGCCCAAAAAATCGAGGTGGAGGTGGCTCCACAGGGCAGAGGGGGTATCCCATTCCCAGGCCGGAACGGAGGGAGGAGCCAGACAGACTGCCTGGCACGGTGGGCACCGCTGGACCCAGGCAGCAATGTCCGTGTCCATGGAGGGCCACCAGACGTAGCTGCGATCGAGGGCCTTCATTTGCACTATGCCAGGGTGGCCCTCGTGGAGGCAGCGGAGAACTTGCTGGCGGAGGGCCGCAGGGACGATGACCCTGGAGCCCCAGAAGAGGCAGTCCTGTTGGATGGACAGTTTGTCCCAGCGGCGGAAAAATGGCAGGAACTCGGCAAGGCGAGTGTCCACCGTCCAGTCCTGGTGGACAGCATCCAGGACTCTCTGGAGGAGGGGGTCGGACCCAGAAGCATGGGCAATGTCGGTCGCTGAGAAAGGGAGGGCGAGCTCGTCAGTCAGCGAGACGAAGGAGGCTGTGGGGGCAGGATCGGACACAGGAAAGGGTAGCGGGCAGAGGCTGAGGGCATCTGCATGACCCATGTGTTTCCCAGGGCGGTAGAGAAGGAAGTAGGTGTAGGAGGCGAGGAACACCGACCACCGGCCCATGCGGGGCGAAAGGATGGTAGGAGTGAGCCTGTCCCCAGATAGAATGCCCAGAAGGGGTTTGTGATCCGTGAGTAGGGTGAAGGAGCGGCCATAAAGGTAGTGATGAAAGTGTTTAACCCCCGCAATGGCTGCGAGGGCCTCCTTGTCCAGCTGTTGTAGTTGCGCTCAGTCCTGGACAAGGTGCGGGAGTAAAAGGCAATCGGGGCTTCAGAGCCATCGGGATACAAGTGGCTCAGGACAGCCCTGACACTGAAAGGGGAGGCGTCGCAGGTGAGGAGGAGGGGAAGGCGCTCATCGTATTGGACGAGCACGGGGGCAGCTGTCAAGAGGGATTTGACAGCCACGAGCGCATGTGCCTCGTGGTTCATCCAAATCCAAGGGGCAGGGGCATCTAGCAGCTGGTGAAGAGGCTCCGCAATGGAAGCCTTATGTGGGATGAAGGCGGCGTAAAGGTTAAGGAGACCCAGGAATGCCTGGAGCTCCGCCTTGGAGGAGGGGTGGGGGCGGAGACAATGGCATCAATTTTGGCGGGAGTAGGGTGGATTCCTTTGGAATCTATGAGGTAGCCTAAGAACTCTACGGAGGGGATGCCAAGCTGACACTTAGATCATTATCCGATTATCTGGATCCCTTTCAGTGTGGATTCAGGCCTGGCTACAGCACGGAAACTGCTTTGGTCGCAGTGACCGATGATCTCTGGAGAGCCAGGGACGGAGGTCATGCCTCCGTCCTAGTGCTTCTTGACCTCTCAGTGGCCTTCAATACCATCGACCATGGTATCCTTCTGTGGCGGTTATGGGATGTGGGGGTGGGAGGCACCATCCTTCGGTGGTTCTCCTCCTACCTCTCGGACAGGTCGCAGTCGGTGTTGGTCGGGGGGCAGAGATCGACCCCTAGGCCCCTGAATTATGGAGTGCTGCAGGGTTCGGTCTTGTCCCCCCTCCTGTTTAACATCTACATGAAGCCATTGGGCAAGATCATTCAGCGGCACGGGAT